CTCCCACAGCGGCCCCAGCCCCGGCACCACGGGGGGCAAATCCAGCCCCTCTCTGAAACCCGCTCTCTCTCTCCTAGAAGAGAGCACGTGCTACTGAGGAAAAGCAGCAGCTGCAAAGGTGGGGAGTGGGAAAACACTTCATGCAGCTCCTCTCGGAAACAGGATCTCCATCAACTCCCCCGTTATTGGCAATTTTGGAAGGGCTTTCACCTGACGGTGTTCAGGGCACCCACCTCATCGATACTGGGGTACGGGATGTAGTCTTCCTGCAAAAAGGAATCAAAACACCACGTATGACCATCTGTTCCCCACCAGCCATCCCTTCAGACCACAGCCTTGCACATCTGACCCCGGGAGCGCTCCCAGCTGCCCTGGTCCCTCCTGTCCCAGCGCCCTGCACTGAGCACCGGGCAGTAACGGAGAGCGATGCTCCTGTCGGGTGAGGCCGCTGTGCGCAGCAGTGGGCACGAGGCCCGGGAGGGGTGCCGCTGCGCTGCCCGGGGACCCCTCCCCACTCGGGGCCTGCAGGAAAGCACGGCAGCAGGGTAAGCCCTTTACCAAAGGGGTCCCCATTATCAGCGTAAGCTTCTCAGCTCTGCGGCACAACCCGACCATTTTACACAGCTCACTGCTGAAATACACAGGTTTGGACATAAAGCTGGATTAGGGATTTACAGGCACCACTCTCCCATCTTTGCAATTCAATCAATGCCTTGTTTTTAGACATTTAAAGCCTTTTTAGTCCTTTGAGTGTCTGTCTTTGACTATAGACATTAAATCCCTGAGATAAGGGTGGGAAAGCATTTTAAAAGATCCACACAAGAGACAAAATTCAACCAACCTTATGTTTTTGGCTTCCAGTTCTCTGTTCTTCAAGTTTTGGTGCCTGTTTGGAACAAAACCAATATACTGAATAATTAAGATGTTTTCAACAACACAGACGAAACCACAAGGGTATTTCGCTACACAGAAATCACCTTGACACGAGCAGCATGAAAGGAGGGGGTTTCTGCCCGGGACGAGCCAGGCAGAGCTGTCAGCATGCCAGGACAGACCCTGTCGTAACACAGTGAAAATGGGTGACAGGGATGGGGTAGGATAAGACCCGGGATATGGCGACACCACACTGACAGTGTCTAAATGTGAGGCAGAGACTATTGCACAAACACAAAACGCCCCGTATCCCACTCCAGCTTCCTCTTCATTTCTCCGGGATGGGCTCCTAAAGGAAATCCCTGCGCTGCCTCCCTGCGGAGCGGGGACTGCAGCCCTTCATGTGGCAGGGTGACAGCCCCGGCTGTCTCACAGTGCCTGTCCCAGGCAGGAGCACGGGGACGGCAAACCCTGCTGGTGCTTGCCCGTGCCACCCTGGGGAGCACCACGGCTGGGGGAGCACCACGATGGGGAGCATCGCACTGGGGAGCACCACGATGGGGGAGCACCACGATGGGGGAGCACCACGCTGGGGGAGCACCACACGTCCCAACACCGGAGCCAAGCACCACCTGCCCGTGCCCCTCCCACAGGGACAAGGCACATGCCAGGGGACACCCTGGTCCCCTGACCCTCCCCCTTGGGCAGATCCTGACGTGTTTTGGTATGGGACAAGAGAATGCCTTGCCCTGACCCAAGGCACAGCGCTTGACTCAGCCATGCCCTGCACCAGAGCCTGCCGCTTGCAAAGACAGTGCCAGGCAGTGGCGTCCTGGCTTTACCAGGGAGCAATGGGGACCCTGTCTCAGAGCGTGTGTCCCTAAACCTCCTTTTGCAAAACTGCTCGGGGTGATGCGGAACAACCTCGGAGGAAGATGCTGCTGACACCACTGCTATGCCCCCGTGCACTGGGGTGTTTCTGTGCAGCTCCCTTCTGCATGGTTTGAGCCGGGAAGCGCCTGCCGTGCCCCCTTTCACCGGGGCTCAGGCAGCGCTGGGGAGTTCAGCAACAATTCGAACCACGTTACGGTCATACAAGGCCTCCCAGCACGTTACGTGCAGGAGGTGCTGCGGGACCTCTGCCCTTGCAGCCTCTGCCGGGTGGGGAACGTCCCGCGTTACTGGCATGCATGCTGCTGCTCACCTGCATTTTTTCCAGCATTTCGAAGAATTCTGCAGACTGAAAAAGACAAGAAGGAAATCTCCTGTTCAATTAAAGCAGACACGAGGCAAGCCAGCTCAGGCCACATGAAGGCAGGGAGACTGGACCCCCCACCTCGTACCAGGCACTCTGGCTCTGGCCCTCAACAGGAATGGGAAGAAGAGACTATCCATAACCGACGGCCTGTGCCCCTGAGACATCCCACCCAGCCTCGCCGTCGGGTAGGGACGGAGCCCCGCAGCCACCCCGGGCTCCCGGCGCCCGCCCCCCCCCAGGTCCCCCCGCCGCAGCACAGGGAGCAGTGAGCGGCAGCAGCTCCCCACCTCCCTAACTCCTCCTGCTCTGCATTTGGTTCCCAAAAAAGCCCCAGAAGACAGGACGAGTGACGCTGCGGCGCTCATCCCACTCCCCGCTCACGAGCGGGTGGCTGCCAGCCGCGGC